GTATCCAGTCACCCCTTCAATCAAATCTGAATATGAAAATGGTGAATGCAAGGTCAATAAATAAACACATCCTGATACTCTTCTGTATCAATTTCTGTTAGTGAGTAGTGTCAATAGAGAAAAAGAAGAAAAAGAAGAAAAATGTGAACAATACTATTTTCCATTCTTATATTGAAAACGGGAGCAGAGTCGTTCCCAAAACGTCCAAAGATGATTAACATTTCACAATTCTAACTATACATTTATACTTCTTCAAACGGCCTTGTCAGATACTCTCCAAGAGCTAGAATTCGCCTGTCAAGGAGAATTTGTGTCAATTTCCTCAAGACTGCTTGAGAAATTTGATCAAAACGATGCCACGGGGGTTGGATGCTCGAGGGGAGCATAATCGTTATTGACTACATCTAGGAGGTCTGCTTTTTGTTGTATTTAATATAATCAAGGTTTCTGTTTATCGGAGAGGGCTAAAACACAATGTTCATCGATAAGTTCATGTAGGTTCGGCAATTTTGAAAAATTCATATTTTCTCGAAATATTTGTATCATCTCTTTGAAAGAAGATATTGCGGCGTGAATCAAAAACCATTGTGTTAAACAGGGATCACACATAAATTCAAAACACGATGAAGCTGAGTTCAATCACTGCCACAAGGTGTTAAGAATTTAAGCGTGAAATATAGTAACTTTAGTTTTTTCCTGTATAATGACCAAGCCATCAGCTTTTTTATTATATATAAAAAAGTTACAGAACGATCAATTTCGCATTTTGTTGCTGGCCGTTTATTTTGCCTGTGGGTGTATCTTGCGACTAGATTATTGAGATTATCGAACCAAATGTTTTCGTAGCCTGTTTACTAAAGAAACGACAAATAAATGAATTGAATGTGTATGACACAATGAATGTAAAGAAAAAATTTTATTGGATTTAGTGAAAACGAATAAGCAACCAAATCGCGAAAGTCATTTATATAATTTCCAGTTCTTTTGACCTTGCCGAAAACGAACGCTCGGGTTTGGAATTTGGCTGTTAATCTATAATGAATGGTTCACAAAATACCAGGCGAACTTTAAAATACAGTTTGATTTTCAACAAAAAGTGCAAAAATTTCATTTTGTTTATGATGTGTTTATATAGTCATTTCAAACTAATTCAGTTTCAATTTTCAATCGATCATTCATTCATTTGAATATATTCTGAATTCAAATTTGTTCAATAATTGATTATGAATTATGTCTCAATGTGATTTGTTTCAATTTGAAATTGTACTTGTAATTCTAAATTTTTGTTACAGATGGAGATGTAGTTTCAAATTATTTCTCCAAAAGGAATAAAAAGTATGGACTTCTCTCCTTATTCATCTTTGCGAAAGAAGCTTTGTTACCTATGCGAACTAAAAAAGGGTTTTGAAAATAAATGTTCCCATGCAACCAAAATATTAGGATGAAGATCCTTCACTGTATATTGTACATACCTATCATATGCCCAAATACATACCATAGAATAACATTAACTCGTGACTTATTAATTCAACATGTAGAAATGAATGAATTCAATTTGGTTATGAATCGCATTTCACCCTATATTTAAATATCCGGTGGAGTAGATACTATTCTGCCGGAAATATTCTACAGCTTGTATCCTAATAATGTCGCGAATGACATTGTTTATCAAAAACTGCTTGCCTGCCAATTTCATGAGCGAAATTGAAGCAGCAAGTTGGAGAATGTCATTCGAAGTATATTTCCAGGGTGTATTCGTATGAATATTTCATGATTGAGACAATATCTGGGCGCCTCGCGAGTGTTGCGCACACTGCATCTATCATTCTGGATTTCAACATGATTGCCGTTTAAATAGAAAGTTTTAAAAACGAGGTTGGTTTTCACGTCGAGAACAAGAGTGGAATAGTAAAAAAAAGAAAGAAATTATCTATTGTATTTAAGGGAGATCAACACACAACTACATTGTGAAGACAATTTAGTTTGAAATAGAAACCTGAAAATAATACTAATAATAATAGATAGCTTTTTATCATTAAAGAAGACTGTTAATTGGTCGATTTTAGGAAATTGGTTCTCAAAATAGGCGTGTCTTCAAAGGTCAACCACATAACTTAAGTTGAAATGTTATTTATCTACATCTGTTGAGTTATTTATGCGCATTGCTTACTTAATTTAACAGTTAATGACAGTTGTTTGTTTTGGTGATTCAAATATAATGACAATGCGAAAGTGTATAATGATGTGATATCCAATCGTCTTGTCAAATTCAAATAGGTGAGTACCTATTGGTTATGCAAAAATACAAGCTACTGATGGTGAACTATACGAAAATGCAATAAACTTACTTTACATACAATACAGGCCGGCGTACCTCAGTGCTTCGATGCTTCAATATCGATTCACGTCGAGGTATCGATGGTGGGTTCGAGTCCCACGAACGCAGACTTTTTCTGATGGCCTAAAAAAGTGTTTGGGATCACACGTTAAAAGGTAAGGCCCCCGTCATTCCTTGCTCGCACAAGACTTTCGAAGACTTCTGAGGGTTGCTCGTAAGGGGGCAACCGAATGACGGATAGAACAATTTCAGAACTTTACTCGGTCGTCACCTTTGTCGTCACAGTTTTAATCGTCTTATAATCTATCCAGTCAGTAAGAACGCGTCGAGCAAGGAGTGTCCGCTACGTGTACGGACTTCAAAGGAGCCGACACTGTGCAGTGTATGTTTTTTGAGGGAAATACTCCAATTGACTTTGAGAAGATTATATTTTATTTCATTGGTTTTTATTTTCAACTGTAAGTGAAACCAACAAAGATTTGATATTGACTATTTGCAGAACGCGAAAATTCGTTTTGCTCGCGCGTGGCACAATCATCACTGACATATAACTACAATCTAAAAAAAAAATTTCTAATGTTTTTATCAGTCATTCGGTTGCTCCCTAACACTTTCTTGGGTGATCCGAAAAATGTCTGCAGTCGTTTGGATTCGTTGGATTCGAACCCACGACCGGCAAGCCATCGCGATTAGAAAACTAAAGCTTCTACCACGCGGCTACCTGGCCCCCTTCTAGACCGCTATATATGTCATATCCCAGCAACCCGAAAATATCAGGTGAATTGGTCGCCTGAAAACGCTTCTGCCCAATGTACAGGAACTCTCGAACTGTCGTTCATGACAGTGGGTCATGTTTCTTGGTGTTCGGAGAAATGAGTGAGAGTGAGTAAGATATATGACAGGTCCTAAATGCGAATGATTCATATTTTCCAGTACGCTTTCGTGAGTGACACAGATTCTTTCTTATGGCATTAGCGGTCTAGCTAGATAGTATATAGTTTATGTCAGTGCTCTGCATCATTCAGTCATTGTCCAACCAATACGACGATAATTCACAGAAAAAGTGAGCAAGAGATGATTACACTACATGTATTATTTTAGATGGAACAACCTATATTTCATTCCATTTTTGATTTCTGCATATTATTTCGAGATTTTTTATGATAATATGTTCATATATAGGTACTGATCTCATACCGTTTTCGAGTTATTGCACAATCTTTGTGCAAATTTTACTAGTATATTCAAAAATATATATCTCCAACATTTTCAAAACTAGAACGTTTGAAATATTACCAAAGCTACTATACCGGGTGTAACAGGATCATGGTATATTCAATTTTTTTCTTTAGATTTGGAGATAAGTGATTGAAATTTGGCGGGTCAACAACTTAAAGGTTACGGATTCACCAGAAGTGGTAAGAGGTTTTCAAATGAAACACCCCGATATCTTTGCATTTTCGAATTCTGCATCATTTTTTGAATCTAATGATACCACATAAGTGACATTTCAAACTTCAATATTGATTTTGATATCATTTTTGATTTTGTATTAAAGTTTGATGTACTCCTATCGACAGGTGTAGTGCTAGAAAAAATTCAATCTTGTCAAAATCGTAAAATTTCTTGATTTATCACCAAATTCAGTTCATCCAAATGGATTGGTGTACCATGATCCTGTTACACCCGGTATTTATGATGATCTCCAAAATGAGACTGAAAACTTTTTCAGAATTAAATTGTCATTCGGATTTCAACCTGAAAGTATTATATTCATCAAGTGGATGCACGATGTTCTGCTTCCATATATTTTCCATATCCACCTTCGAAGGATCTCCAGCTATGGAGACTAATTCATAAAAATGTAAGGAGGATTTCAATTGCATGAATAATAACAATGTGTTAACAGAGTAGGCCAGGCTGAACATTCGCAATCGAAATAAACACTATAATGTTATCTGACAGAAATTCATGCAATTCCAATTTGCAGAATGAAATGAACAATAATTATCTTAATAGTGATATTTTGAATTTATTCTACATTCATGGGGAGTGTCATAAGATTATTGAGAGAAATTGTCTTTTTGAAGAGAGATATCCGAACTTGCCTCAACTGATCCAAACAAATTTCAGAAGAATAGAATCACAATATTTAGAATTTGAAGTCACAAACAGAAAACATCAACAGGACCAATCCCCATGAGTTGAGGTTATTCAGGTATACCAAACAGCAGATATAAAAAAATTATGCATCAGTAATGTATCAATATTAATTCAAGTGTTCAATGTGCCGTCCGTCTATATCCAAACATTACACGATCCTTCTTTCGACTTCTTCATTCGACGGTCTTCTAACTTCCATATCTAATTCCCCGAAACTTCTTATTCTCTGTTCCAGTTCTTTATGAGACTTAACTAGCCGATCATAGATTTGGCTTTAATATAGGGCCCCTTAGATAAAAATCTAGAGCTAGGAGTAGATTTGGTGATCAAGGAGGCCATCTCCATGGTCCATTATCCCCATTTCATTCATAATCATAGTTGTATCAAATTCGGTTCATTTATACAATTGACATTATTCATTCACAATGCATATTATAAAATTCCACAGATGTTCAAAAATACACCTTACTTTTTTTGTTTCAATCTGTTATTTTTATTTGTACAGCTAACATTTATATATAATATGAACAAATAGAAAAATGTAATTCTCTCTAAAAGATTGTCATTTTTTTCTTATCTTTTCTAAAACTCTGTTCATTCTTGATAAGTTCTGCTTGAGAGTGATATGACCTTAGCTGATTTTGTGTATGCACTAGTTTATCTTTCAGTTTATTATGGATACTTGAAGTAACATCAGTATTCCTTGATAACGACTCGTTCAATATTTCTAAAGCTCTTTCTGATCGCCTAATACTCTCTGCTAATTGTAAGCTCTTGATATTCAAATTTCTTGAACACTCTTGTTTCACTTGCTGCCATTCTCCCAAACGACCTTTCTTTGTATCCTCATCGTTATCCTCCAGAGTCTTATTGATAAAGTTGAAAACATTGTTGTCATGTGACTTCTTATCATTCAATTTCTTATTATGCTTTTCTCGCTTTTTCTGTAACCTCTGAAACCTTCTTTCGGCATTGAATAAATTCTCATCACCGCCAGATTGCTCTCGGAGTTTCATACAATGATCTGAAACAGTAGATTATGATAATATTGATAAAAATAATGATAATGATAATGATGTGTCGATATAATATACAGCAGGGTCGTGTCATCGAAACGAATACAATTGAATTGAAACCCTAAGAAAGCCCAAGGTATAATATTTGTGAATTCGTAAATTTTGTATTTGTAAACTTTGTATATCGCTACTTCAAAGTTGGGACCCAACTCCCCAGAAGTCGGAACTTGTGAGGGCTTAGGAAGATCGGGACCTACAGCTTATAGTGGAATTCGAACCACTTCTAGGCCATCGAGGTGTTCCCAGGTAGAACATCATATTGGCTAGAACTTGGTTTCATATTAGCCCAATATTCGAATATTGAATACGGAATTACTAGGTTGCACCAATATCAAACCAATTCTTTATTTCAATATTCGATCATCAATCCATTGCCAATATTTTAATAACATTGAAATTTTGTGACCAGCCGATATCAATTTGTCAATATTTATTTGATATTGGAGGAATATTAACGATCACAATATGTCAATTTTCATGATGGGCTGATATTGCATTTCCAATATCAAATCGATCTTGGAAAAAAATATTGACTCAATATCCAATTTATGATGGTTAGTGAATATTGCATTTCATTGTCCAGCAATGTTGTAATAACATTGAGATTTTGTTTCCAGCCGATATTTATTTACCAATATCTATTCGATATTGGTGAAATATTGACGATCACAATGTCAAGTTCCATGATTGGGCTAATATTGTATTTCCAATATTGAATCAATCATGGAAAAAAATATTGCATCAATATCAGATTTATGATGGTTGGTGAATATTGCTCTTCGTTGTCCAGCAATATTGCACTGATATTGGTGATTCAATATCATTTCGAAATTCAATAATCAATCCAGTGCCAATGTTGTAATAACATTGAAATTTTGTGACCAGCCGATATCAGTTTGCCAATATTTATTTGATATTGGCGAAATATTAACGAATACAATATGTCAATTTTCATGATGGGCTGATATTGTATTCCCAATATCGAATCAATCTTGGAAAACATATTGTATCAATATTTTGTATTTTTATTCAGCCAATATTAGTTCATCAATATGCGACCCATTTCAGATAGATATAACTAATGAAATATGCCAGAACCAATATTGCACTGACATTGGATTTCTAATATCGAATCGATATTCGTGATATTTCTCTTAGTATTTGAGCTACGTTATAACAGCTGGCGCCACTAGCACGCCTCCAACAAACGACTGCTGAGAGACATCAAATACCGCATTCGTTCAACTTGCAAACTAAGTATTCTGGGATACAGGAAACGAAAATGGATTTGATATTGTACAAATATCGCAATTTTTTAATGAGGCTAATATGGCTTCGAATTTTGATTTCGAGTTTTGTTGAAAAACGAAATTCAATATTGGTTGAATATTATAATTCAACATGAAGATAATATTGCAAAATAATCACATCCTCATTTTAGCCAATATAGTAGGGGAATATGAATTCAATATCGATTTCACATATGGAAATTATAAGAAACCAGTTTTCTTTAAGTTGGCATCATATATTTGTCCAATCTGGTATACGAATATTAACTCGATATTGGATAGAGCATATCGAAACAAGATTGAAATTCAACATAGCACCAAGATTCCAGAATGTTCACATTGATTTATTGACCCAATAATTGAAATTAATATTTTCCCAACATTCACCATTTATTGACTCAATATTGAACCAATATTAGTGTTCTACCTGGGTTGATAGGATTACAACCATGAATCCCACATTTTGAAGAAAAATGCTCAGCCGATAGCCGGATTCGAACCGACAGCCCCTTCGCATCGTGAACGGCTATCTAGCGAATTTCAGCGCATAGACCAAAATAAGATTTGGGGCAAGACCACCCGAAATTTTACACATCGAGAGCTAGTTGCGCATGTATGTTTCATATATAAAACAAGAAGGATCTTGGAGAACGAAGCGACGTGCCACATCTCATAAACATGGTGAGAGAGCAAATTAAGTTTGTAGTAGAGTAGCGGCTATAGGAAGGCACGTTGAGTAAAGTTTTGAATTGGAACTTATCACTCAAATTGAGAAAGAAATATATCAAGAAACCTAAAAAATCTGTGACGACGTGAATGAGAAAATATAAAAATGGAATTAATAGTAATCTTTAGGCACGGAAAGTAACACGTTACATAGAAGTACGTTGAAAAAGTAGAAAAATCACTAGAGTTCCTCAATGTTCTTGACACTGCTGTTTTGAGGTTTTTGTATAATCAGAGTACGGACACTATGACAAGCAATGACAGTCATACATAAATACAAATAAATTGATGGAAAAGCAAGAACTGACATTAATTTCATAGGTTTGTCAAATTGAAAAAAATGGAAAAATTTTGTGCATTTTCCAACTGTTGAAATACTCGAAATTCAGTGATAGTCACTTTGTGGAACTGATGAATGTATACCTATTCATTCAAGAGATAGATTGTTTGTGTATCGCTTCCTTCAAAGTTGAAATCCCAAGTCTGAACCCTGACTTGTGCGTATTGAAAAGTGCGGGACCTCTACATCTTATGCTGGATTTAGAAAAACTTATGGGGTGCCGAAAGATGTTGACAGGACAAAAACTCTTAAGCATTGCACCATTTATTTTTATCGAAATTGATCTTTTGATGGCCCGACCAACAACCACTCTAGCAATGGAAAAGGCGATCTATAGTCGACCGCTAATCTCTCGTTGGTTTTCTCTACTTTGAAGTTGGGAACCGATTCCCAGAAGTATACAGGGTGTCCGGGAACATGTGGGAAATCTCCCGGATATGAAGAAAACACGTGAAAAGAATACTATAAGTTCATATAAACTTCTTTTGTATCGGCCTCCTCTTCGGAGATATGGGCTCCCAAAGAGCTCCCATGGAATTAAGTTTTTGACACATAATTCTTGAACCAACAGGTATATTTCATTTTTTTTTTAATATGATGTATACTAGGTAAGACTCTTCAAATTACTATCCAAGAAAGTGTTGCGAATTACTCACAGCTCCAGGGACGGACTAGCTGTGACACTCATGGGCCCATTTTTTTTACGCCCTGTATGATAAGAACTCTGGACAACGTTTTTTACATACCTCTAACTATTGACTAAAAATTAAGTACTCTTCATTCATGTCGCTAATCATAACCGTTTTCGGAAAAACGTCATTTTATTTATATCATGTATTTAGCGTAATTTTCCACGGTAACCAACATAGTTTCAATAAAAAGTTGAACTTTAACTGCTTAGTAAAAAACTTCGTAACAGGGTTCAACATGGGCTCCATGAAGTCTGATACACTCGCGAGCACGACGAATTGAGGACTGCTGTACCCGCCACAATAACCCAGCATTGTTCCTTATCACATCACAATGAAACGTGATTCTCCGTAGAAGTTCCTCCCTAGTATCGACCGGAGTGGAATACACCAAGGTTTTGAGGTGTCCCCACAGGTAAAAATCTAATGGCGTTAGGTCGGGAGATCTAGGAGGCCAGGCAATAGGTCCTCCTCTACCTATCCAACGGTTTGGATAGACGTTATTCAGGTGCTCCCGCACAGCAACGCTGAAATGAGGTGGTGCCCCATCATGCATAAAGTACATGTTTCGGCGGGTTTCAAGTGGTAAGTGCTCGACTAAATCATTAAAAGCGTTCTGGAGGAACTCCAAATAAAGTATTCCATTCAATCGTGCCGGCAATACGAATGGTCCAATCAAAAAATTGCCAACGATTCCTGCCCAGACATTAATTGATTGGAACTGATGTTGGCGATGCGAAACAATAGTGGCATGAGGATTTTCATCAGCCCATACATGGGTGTTATGTAAATTCATGATACCATTTTTGGTAAAACCTGCTTCATCCGTGAAGAGAATAGTGCTAATGAAGTTTACATTATTTCGTTGCTGATCCAATAGCCAGTTTGCAAAATGCATTCTACGGGGAAAATCTTCAGGAATCAGTTCATGCACTTTTTGCAAATGATATGGGTATAACAGTTGTTCTTGAAGAACTTCATGTACTATTGTTTTCGACGCATTAAACTGCGCTGATAATTTTCGAGTGCTCGTTGAAGGAGTATCATATACAGCATTTAAAATATTTTCCTCTAATTGCGGCGTACGTACTGTTCTTCCCTGACCAGTATTATTACTTCTTTTTCCAAAATTTCCTAAAATTATGAAAGAAGTAAATAACATTACCTTATTATACCTTATTAAGAAGAATCGCCCACCATTCTCCCTTAGACGTTGGTCAACTCGTTGAAATGTCTTCTGATCTGGAAGAGTGCGATTAGGAAATCTGTCGTGATATAACCTTCTGGCTTCCAAAGCATTGGAAGATGCAAGACCATACATCAGATGCATATCTGCATACTCAATAAACGTGTATTCCATATTTCGAATTATTTCACAATTAATTTCACAACGAAATTCAAAAATCAAATATCAAAGTAATAAGGAATCAATGTATCAGTAATGTGAAAGTTGACAAGTTCTAAAATGAAGGATATTTATTCATTTCTAACCTAGCAACGTTTGCAAAGGTAACTCGAAAAAAAAGTATCTTTTATCGAAATACGCTAAATACATGATATAAATAAAATGACGTTTTTCCGAAAACGGTTATGATTAGCGACATGAATGAAGAGTACTTAATTTTTAGTCAATAGTTAGAGGTATGTAAAAAACGTTGTCCAGAGTTCTTATCATACAGGGCGTAAAAAAAATGGGCCCATGAGTGTCACAGCTAGTCCGTCCCTGGAGCTGTGAGTAATTCGCAACACTTTCTTGGATAGTAATTTGAAGAGTCTTACCTAGTATACATCATATTAAAAAAAAATTGAAATATACCTGTTGGTTCAAGAATTATGTGTCAAAAACTTAATTCCATGGGAGCTCTTTGGGAGCCCATATCTCCGAAGAGGAGGCCGATACAAAA